TGCGCCCTCCATGGTCCCATACGCATGCCCTTCGTGGCCCCCTCGCTGCCCTTCGTGGCCACTTTGCTGACCTCAGTGGCCCCGCTGTCGCCCTTTTCTGGCCCCATATACGTATGCCCTTCGTGGCCCCCGCTCGTTCGCGCCCGGCGTGGCTCCATATGCATACCCTTCGTGGCCTTGCTGTCGCCTTTCGCGGCCACCTCGCTGCCCTTCGTGGTCCCGTTTCTGCCCTCAATGGCCACTTCCTTGCCGTCTGCGACCCCGTGCACGTTTGTCTTTCGTGGCCCCCGTGGAGATCGCGCTATCGCACGAGACTTTCTCGCGATTCATGCCCGGCGAACGCTTCAGCAACCCGCCTGCTAGACCCGACCGCCTGGATCCGCCTTCCCAGCCCGCCCGTTAGGGTCCACACGCCCGATTCGCCCGTCTGGTTCTGCCAGGTTTTTTCTTCTGCTTCTACCCCCCCTTCTATTTTCTCTCGTGCTCCATCCTCCTCACTGGATCTTGCCCTTTCCTTTCATCCGTCCTCTGTTCCCCTGCCTGAGGGGCTGCACGAAATTCACATTGCAGGTGAGAAAGACGGACCCCCAAGGGGGCACGATCCCAGACGAAGAGGGCGGTGATCTAGGGTTTTGGATGTACGTGGTGAATGGCACGCGAACAGAGCGAACAGTCTTAACATGATTGCTGTTGTTGCTGCTGCTGCTGTTGTTGCTGCTGTTGTTATTGTTGTTGTGGCTGTTGGTATTGTTGGTATTGGTGGTGTACTTGTTGCTGTTGTTGGTGTTGTTGCTGCTGCTGTTGTTGTTGGACTCTCAGTGCTGAGGAATACGTTTTGTTGATCACCACCCTCCAGGGCACATGCTGTTTTTCAATTGAAGTGCCCTTGCTGGGGCTCGCACCCTGTCCTTGTACAAGGGACTGTGTGGGGTCACCAAACTGACTGGGCCCTTGGCCCCCGAATGACAACAACAACAATGTTTCCCGCCTGATACTTCCTCGCAGTGTATTCCCAAATCGCGCTCTCGCGCTCAATTCCCTCACGATGTATACAGGAATCGCGCTCTGGCGTGGGACTTCTTCGCAACTCGTTTAGGCGCCGCGATCCGACACTCAGGAATTACGCTCTCGCTGTGAACTTTTCTCACGATTTATTTGGAAATCGCGCTATCGCTCGAGACCTCCTCGCGATTCATGCAGGGCGAACGCTTCAGCAACCCGCCTGCTCGACCACGCCTCGTGGGCCCGCCTTCCCGGCCCGCCCGTTAGGGTCCACACGCCCGATCTGCCTGATCGGTTCTGCCTGGTGTTTTTCTGCTCCTACCCCCCCTCCTGCTACTTTCTCTCGTGCTCCATCCTTCTCGCTCTCCCTTGTCCTTTCCTTTCACCCATCCTCTGCTCCCCTGCCTGAGGGGCTGCACGAAATTCACACTGCAGGTGACAAAGATGGGCCCCTAAGAGGAGACGATCGAAGATGAAGAGCGAACAGTCTTAAAATGAATGTTATTGATGTGGTTGCTATTGTGGTTGGTGCTGGTGTTGCTGTTGATGCTATTGCCTTTTGTTGTTGTTGTGGTTGTTTTGTTGGTGTTGTCAATGTGCTTGTTGTTGTTGATGCTGTTGTTGTTGGTGTCATTGTTGATGTTCGTGTTTGTGTTGTTGATGTTGCTGTTGTTGTTCACTTTTCTTTCTCGACATATGTATTGTTGATCCCGCCCACTGGTGCATATTGCTTTTCACTTAGAGTGCTCCTCCCGGGCCTCGCACCCTGTTTTATTTGAACAGGGAATTTGTTCGTACTTACTCAAACTGTGTCGCTTCCCCCGCCGCTACAACAACAACGGCTCCCGCCTGCGATTTCCTCACAAGGTATTCTGACATCGAGCTCTCGCGCGGGACTTCCTCACAACTGTGGCAGGCGTCGCGCTCTCGCGTGGGACGCTCTCACAATTTGTTCAGTCGCCGCGCCCTCAACACTCAGGAATCACGCTCCTGTTCCTGGGTAGTCGAAGGCCAGACTGTCAGACTGGATTGGGCCCCAAGGGCCAATCTGGCCCGGCCAAACTGGATGATTTGGGTTATTCGCCAGACTGGATTCGCGCTGGCTCCCTCGCCAGACTGCCCCCCGTTTGCCAGCTTGGGCCTGCCAGATTGGCGCCAGATTGGCTTCGACTACCCAGTCGATGTACTTGCGACTCGCGCCCTTGCGCGAGACCTCCTCGCGACTCCTGCCGGATCGCGCACCGGCACCCCGCCTGCGGGACCTGGCCGCCCGGGCCCGCCTTCCTGGCCCGCCCGCCGTCGTCTGCCCGCCCGAGGTGCCATCCCGGTTATGCCACGTGGCTTCTGCTCCCAGCGCCCCTCCTGCTAATGTGTCTCGTGCTCCATTTTTCTCCTTCCCCCTTCCTGGGTAGTCGAAGGCCAGACTGTCAGACTGGATTGGGCCCCAAGGGCCAATCTGGCCTGGCAAACTGGATGATTTGGGTTATTCGCCAGACTGGATTCGCGTTGGCTCCCTCGCCAGATTGCCTCCGTTTGCCAGATTGGGCCTGCCAGATTGGCGCCAGATTGGCTTCGACTACCCAGCCTTCCATCCGTCCTCTCATCCGCTCTTTGCGGGGCTGCGCCGAATTCTCGTGGAAGCTGCGGAACATACACCCCCAAGCGGGTACGATCGGAGCAGAGGGCGGGCACCGAGGGCTGGTGGTACACGTGTGGAATGACACGCGAGCGCGTAGGAACACAAAGTCTCATAATGATTGTTGTTCTATTTATTGTTCTGAGTGAAGACGAACCGCTCCTGCTGATTTCCCGCTCTGGCGCCCACTGTTCTATCCCCATGGAAGTGCCCTCGGAGGGCTTGCACCTTGTTTGTCCCCGCATCCTGACTGTGGGTGTTGTGGCCTTTGCACACCCCTCGCGCAGTCGCGCCTTACCCCCCTTGCTGTCCACCTGTCCTCTTGTCACACCCACGATCACAATAACGATCCCCATTTGCATCATCACCATCGTCATTACCCTGAGCACCCATATCGGGTTTCCTCAATAATCACGTCATCACCACAATTACCATTATCTCCGCTGCCATCACCCCACAATGACCACGGGCCATCATCATCATCATCATCATCATCATCATCATCATCATCATCATCATCAGCATCAGCATCAGCAGCATCATCATCATCATCATCATCATCATCATCAACACCACACCAACATCATTACTCGACCTCACCCGGTCACCCTCATCATCACCATCACCATCATTACCAGCATTCGTTTACACACTCACGCATTCATCTTGATAGACCATCGATCAGGGCCTCGTCTGTGAGTTGATTGCGAGGAAATCTCAGGCGTGAGCCTCCTTTCCTATGGGGCCCGCACCTCCCGTTTGTAATTCGAGCGGGCCATCGGAATATTTAAACCGACGTCGCATTTCAGCACCCCAAAGGGACAAATCATGAAGATGTCTCGCGCGGAGGCCTCGTCTGTGAGTGAAATGCAAGGGATTCTCACCTAGAGGGTCCGCATTTTATGTTGGCAATCAAAAAAAGGGTCACCAGATAATTCTTATTAGGCATGGCGCTTAAGCGCCCCAAGGGGCAAATCGTGAGGATGCCTCGAGCGGGGGCCTCGTGTGTGAGTGAATTGCGAGGGAGTCTCAGGCGGGAGCCCCCTCCCTGTTGGGCCCGAGTTTCATGTTAGTATTTCGAACGGGTCATCGGAATATTCTATAAAAGGCGTCGCGCATGAGAGCCCCAAGGGGGCAAATTGTGAGGATGTCTCGAGCGGGGGGCGCGCTCGTCGCGACTGGCGGCGTCTGGGCGTGCCCTTCGTTTTTGTCAGCAGGCAATGGGCGAGTGTTGCGCGACCCATGGCGACCCCGAGGCGGGCCGGCGCTTCCTGAACGTCCGCAACATGAACGAGATGGGGGACATTTTCGGCGCGTTACCAGCACACGTCGGCATGGAGACACGGCCGTGCAGGATGAATTCAACAATGAAGTTGAGGCTCTCGCAGGAGCAACAGGCCACCATCGTGTCCTCCGAGATTCACCACGGGGACGACTGTGAGCATGAGGAAAGCGCGCCGGTCCAGTTCTTTTGTTCCCGCTTCCTACCGCAGGGAATCTGGCTGCAGGTGCATGGTGTCAATGAGTTCCCGATCGACCATGAAGTCGCCGAGCTGCTGCTACAAGGGCCCGAAGGTGCCGACGACGACGGCGAGGCCGAAACCCGGGCGCGCTGATGTTCACGCCCAACACACGAGCTCACGTGGCAGAGCTCGGGGTCGCGCGTCGACGCACGCATCGTACCTCAACTGCGCGTTGTCGCGCTGTCCCAGGGACAGACACTGCGCAAAAGCGCCATTGCCGACTGCGCGCTACGGACGAGGACGCTGGCCGCGCGGTCAAGTCGGACGAACAGTGGCGACCGCACAGCTGCGATATGTTCTCCCGCGCCACCCGCGCGCGGAACATGTTGTTCCTGCGGACACCCCCGCGAGAGCTTCTGCAAGGCGGGCCGGCGGCGCCCCTGCGGAAGGTGCTCGGGGAATTCGACAGAGGGCCACAATCTCCAGGGCTGAGGCGGAACAGCTCGCGGCTGAGCAAGGCTTCGCGCTGCCTCCCGCCCGAACGGGGCGGCGCCCAGCTCGAGGCCCGCGGGGTTGCCCCAACGGCTTGCCCCCGCGCCCCGGCGGCCCATGGGGCTGCCCAAACGGCTTGCCCCGTGGCGTTGCCCCAACGGCGTCGTGATCGGGCCATCGGAGGGCGCGCGCGCGCGCGCGCTGGCAGAGGCGGCGAGAGCGCCGAGGAAAGTCGACTTGCCCCGGCCAGGAGGCAAAGGGAGGTGCCGGCAGAGAACGCGCGGGACGGAGATGCGAAGAAGGGGAAGAAGAAAGACGCGGAGGAGGATGAAGAAATCGCGAGGAGGAGGAGTTGGAGGAGGAGGAGTAGGAGGAGGACGCGGAGGATGAGACAAATAATGATGAGGACTCGAAGGAGGAGGAGACGGACGAAGAGGAGGATTCGGAGGAGAGGAGGGCCTCCGCCACGGCGAATAGGAAAAGGCGAGGGGCAAGCTAAACAGATTACCGCTTTTCGCGCGGGGCCCGAACGCCGGAGCAATTGCAAGGAGAAGCGTTGAGCCTCAGACTGCTCCCCTGGCCCCCACATTACAACAACAACAACGAACTTTTGTTTAATATCGTTCGTTCTTATTTGCTCGCGTGCCATGCCACATGCATTGTATATCCAAAACCTTCGATCCCCGCCCACGCCGTCTTCCGTCGTACCCCTCTGGAAGCATGCTTGGGAATGGGACGAATGGGGGGGACAGGCGGGTAGGAAAAGGATGGAGCACGAAAAGGACTTGCAAGGACGGGCTAAATGTTAGGAAAACAATAGGCAGGACTATACGGGCGGGTCGGGCGGGTTGATCTAACGGGCGGGTTGGGTTTGCGTGCCCACGCGGCTGGGTCGAGCGGGCGGGTCGCTGAAGCGTCGACCTTGCATGGATCGCGAAGAAGTTTCAAGCGACAGCCCAATTCCCAATTCAATCGCGAGGGCGCACTTGAATGAACTGCCAGTCTGCATAAAACTAGTAGATGGGAGCCGTTGCTTCTGCAGCCCGGGAGGGGCAACAAACCAATCTGAGCGTCAACATTTTCCGCTGGTGAAAAATATAGTGTGGACCCCGGGAGGGGCATTTCAATTGACGCACGGTCGCTTGTGTTTTCCAAGCAAATATTTGTATGCTGCATTCGGCGCTCGAGCCGAGCTTTTCGGCGTGTCGCAGAGGTTTGTTCTTGCCCCTCGAGAGTAGTCTGGGGCCTTCTGAGTTTGGGGACCGACCGCCAGTCTTGTTCTCCAGTCGTGTCTCGCCAGTGCGGGCTTCGAGCAGTGTCTTTCTAGAGCCCCGCCGCCGTGCCAGCGCGACGGAAGGTGGACCCGCAGAACCGGGAGGTCAGGGCCCTGCTGAAGCAGGCCATGGAGGGCCAGAAGGAGGTGAACAGACAGGCGGCACCGCTCAGACCGATGGCGATCTACAGGCTTACGCCACATCCGCCGACCCCTTGTTTTTCTTTGGCGGCTATCGCCGGGTTTCGGAGGCAGGTTCGGACTTCTCCATGGGTGTTTTGGAGCCTGTTGGGGCCTCTGTTGGGCTTCCTGGGGACTTTGGGGGGATCTCCTGGGAGTTCTTGGGGCGTATCGGCACCGCTTAGACCGATGGTGCTTCGTCTACCCAGAGAGAATCGCGCCACTTCGCTGGTGCATCGCCAGAATGCCGCGATCCAGAGCGCGATGTGTTCCATCCCGGCGTCGCCGATGCATCGCTGACGCGTTGCCGATGCGGTGTGATCCCCCCGCTTGTCAGGCTTCCAAGAATTCTTTGTTTGTGCAGCGGCTATTAAAACAGGGCGTGGCACGGAAGGCGTCGCTTTTGATGAATCGGGAATTTCGCATCTCGCCGCTGGCGGAACGGCCGCTGAAGCCTTCGGAAGTACACCGAGGGCGGTTGTGCCGACGGAAGGGACGGCAAACTTTCCAAGAGGTTAGTGTTGGCATATCCAAGGTTTCTGGAGCTGGCTTAGGAGGCAAAAGCGTGCGGCATAATCTTCCCAGGAGCTGTTACGGACGTCCGAGTCCGCTTGCTGGGCGTCTCCCAGCTCTCCCAGCTCATGCCCGCATCCCAGACTGTGGCTAAGCTTGGGTTGGGCAATTCCAGCCCTGGACAGGGCGGGATCATTTTTCTTTCAGGGGCAACGCTCGGGGGGATGGGCTCAGGGGGCGACGTACCGACCCCCAGTCGCCCATCGATCTCCGACAAGGACCCGATAGCCCGCCGTGCCCATGAACGTCCGGATTTGCTATCGGGGACCTGTCGCCGATATCCGCCACGAGATATCGCCGATTCCAGCTAAATGTTTCCCTCCTTGAGCCGGCCCCAGTCCCTATCGTGCCCCGTCAATGTGATATAGTATACGCCGCCTGCACACACTCTGCGCAGGTTCTTCCTGTGTTCCGCGCGATTTCTCCGCGACAAGCGTTTCCATTGCAGTTTCGTGATCTGGGGCCAGGCTGTTGCGACAATTGCGTTGAGAGGTTCGTTTCAAAGCCTAGCGGCATGATAACCTATGATTTCATGAGCCTTTTGGGCTTTCCCAGAAACCTTAGCGACCCGGACTCGTACCGCAGGCGAAGGGGATGTACACGAACATGGTGAAGGCTTTGGGCAAGAAGTAGGCGGACGGGCAAGTCCTCAGGTGGGGGAAGCTCCGCTCCTTTTTGATCTGGCCTGCGGCTGCCGGCCGGGTCGGCATCATGCTGGCAGTGATACGGGACAGTTCAGGAAATGAGTTATAGGTGTCAGTTGAAGGCATTGTTTTCTGACATGGTCTTCGTTAAGCCGCTTGCGCGCAACAACACGTCATGGTGTGCCACTTGCGTGTGCGACATGCGAGAGCAAAGTTTGTTCGTGCACCTTCTGCGGCCTCTGGGCCCTCTGGTAATCGTCGCTGCGTCCCCACCGTCAGCGCTGCTGGCCGCCGCCAGCGCCGGCGCCGGCGCAGGCGCGGGTGGGGAGGGGGGCTGGGTGGAACCTTCCCCCCCCCACACCTGGGCCCCCTCTGGTCATCGTCGCTGCGTCCCAGCCGTCCGTCGGCGCTGCTGGCGGCTGCCAGCGCCGGCGCTGGCGCTGGCGCCGGGGGGATGGGGTTTGGACCCCGCCCCCTCTTGGGAGGAGGGGGGGGGGCGGGTGGGGGGGGTTACAGGGGAGGGGAGTCCCCCTGGTTCTGATAGACGGCGCCGAGGGGCCACCCCCCCTGTTCGAAATGCGCCGCCGAACGTTCCCAAGGCAAGCGCCCGTGAAACGTGCTCTCTCCGTGGAGGGGATCCCCCCTCCCCCTTATCCGCCCCTTTCTCTTCGACTGCACTGCCGTTTCTTACCTTGTTTTTCTTTTGGTGGTGTGTATGTGTGTGAGTGAGTGCGTATGATTGTAATTATGTGTGCGTGCGTGCTTGCGTGTGTGCGTTTGTGTGTTTGTGTTTGTGTGTGTGCTTGCATCAGATGTCTATGTGTGTGATTGTGTGTGTGTGTGGAAAAAACTAAGTGTGTGAGTGTGCGTGTGGGTGTCACTGTGTGTGTATGAATGTGCGTGTGTGTGTTTGAGTGTATTGGGGGGGGGCTCCCGCCGAGGTGGCGGTGTCTGCGCTCCCTTTCCGCGCGGGACTAACGGGCGCGTGGCGGAGGAGCGCACTCCACCAGCCCGCCCCCTTCAGGGAGGAAACAACCACACCGACCCCCATCATGGGCGTCTACTGAACGGCCCTGGGCGCCTATTGAACAGTCCGGCCATATTCGATTTTTTCTTTGGGTGCGTGTGTTCGAGGATGAATCAGTAAATATGCTCCTTTCCGCCTCATACTCAATTAGAACTTAACTTAGTTTGCATGCAATGAACTGTCCGCGTGAACTGATGCTGCGTTTCTGATGCTGTATAACTGCTCTAACCAGCCGACCTCGGCTGGCAGGAGAGAAAAGGAGCGCGCTGGGCGCGCGGGCGATTCGTCGTCGTCCGTCCTCGGCCTTCCTCCTCCCTTCCTATTCCTGATAGAGTGGTTTAGCTTAACGGATATCTGTCTTATCGATGTCTCATCCCGCTTCCGCTCTCCCTGAGCAGAGTGAAGATGAGATCTGAATTCCTTTTGTCATCTTACCCCGATTCTCAGAGGAATGACTGGTTACCAGCCGAAACGCGCGACTCAGTCGACGCGGGGCCATTAGAGATAAAAGAAGATCTCCAAGTCGTGCCCCGCGATTCAGTCGTTGCGGGAGAGAGCTACGATAAGACTAACATCGTGTCTAATATCTCGAGAAGCGCAGATTGGCGCGTTGAACAACATGATGGACACGAAACAGATACAATCGGTCCTATTCAAGACCAAATCCATCCTTCAACTATCGCCGATCGGGTCACCAGGGGGAGAAGTACTGATGGGATAACCGAAATGTCGGTAGACATACCCACAGTAGGGGCTCCGATAGGTGATCGTGAGCAAACCCCCGACCCTCACGGGCGAGAAGGCGTCGCGCCAAGGCCCAGACGAGGTGCATTCTCTTCCAGGTTGAGTGCCAACTCGACGGAGTCGATAAGTCCCATTCAGAATGCTCCACAGGCTACCGCCATTGCCGCTGGCGAAGCCAGCCGGCCAGGAGAAAACCAAGGGAATCCGAATGCGTATCTTAACATCCCCGTAGGTTGGGTGGGTACGCATGTTACTACTCCAACCCCTATAGCACTGAGCGGACAATTCGGTCAGGATAGCGATGATCCAATGGACAAAGATCGCGAAATATATTCCATGGCAGAAAATTTTGATAATATCAACAATGATATTTCCCTGAGCCGAGCGTTGTCCGTGATGATGGATGAGGGTATCCCTGCTCGTGACAAAAGTTGGTCTCCAGATGGATCCGATGAAGACACGAGTATCCTGACGCCTCAGGCGGACAGGGCGGAGACTCAAACGAAGCATGAGAGGGAGTCCGCTGGGCGAACCCCTGCGCCTAACCTCAAGAAGCAACGGAATGAGGACTATGAGCTAAACGTCTCGCCATTAAAGGAAGGTTTCTTCCGTAACGCCACCACCTCAGGTGAGTGGCAACCCACCATTCCGGCTGTTGTTGAGGACGAAGAAATGGCCGGACAACAAGATATATATTCTCAGCGAATTAAACAAGACGAGAAGGATGAGGAGCTCTTAAATGCGCCCAAACCACCAGAAAACACTTTTGCTCGCCCCAGATCGAACGCTTCGCGCAGGGGAAGACCCAAAATACCAAGGTCAGGGGCGAAGTCTACCTCTCGGAGCAACAGTACAGCTTCTATGATGGAGGTATGTTGGAATCCAAATCCTGGCCGTGCGTCTCAGGCGGAGAACAGTTGCCCAGGAAAGGCCAACAAGCCCGAAGGCGCATGTAGGAACCCAGTGTGCAGGCATTGCTCGGACGTTTGTAACAAGTGTAACATGCAATGGCTACGTGCGGAGTGCTACCCAATGGGCGAACACAACTGCACATGCCCTTTATTACGGTCTATTCAAGACCAGGCCAGGCTAGCAGAGGCTAACATTCAGAGAGAGTTTCTGACTAACGAGGCGACTCTGGCTGAGAGGGCTCGAGTGGACAGAGAAGAATGAATTGAATCTGTGATCGAAGCCAGGAAAACGTTTCGAGGCGAAGCGGGTCGCCCTAGCCATGGCCGCTAGAGAGCGTGAACAAGCGCTGATAGAACATCTGTACAATCAGACTGAAGCCGTGAAATGGCAAGTGGAGAGGGAAGCAGGAGAACAAATACAGGGAATTATTGACTTCGGAGAGACGGGCCGTCATGATGGCGAACGAAGAATCTGCGGACGCCCATGCGGTTGCCGTTGCCGTTGCGGCGGCCAAGATAGAAGGATAACAAATCGCGACAGCCGTGGCGGAACGAGAAAAACAGGGATTACAAGAAGAGTTCAAAGCCGCCAGGCTGAAAGCAGACAACGCCCAAGCTGTAGCTGCGAAGATAAACAACCAGAACAATCTCTGTCCAGAAGAGCTTAAATCGCATGAGGGAGCCAGATCGTCTCTTCAGCGTATAAAGTCGAGCGACACTAAATGCCCGCCGGCTAAGCCGTTCGGGTCGAACATACACCAGCTTTCGACGGCTCAGTCGTCGAGCATTGCATCTGCCCCTGCGCAATTCGACCAGACGACCGTGGCAAATGCGGGAGCATCGACCATGCTGGTAGGAGGTGCCATGCGCCCTCCTCCTGATGGGAATGGAATCGCGCTTCCAGTGGGCCAGTTTTGTGCCGTTTGTTTTCGACCAAAGACAGACAACTGCGTCGGATGTGGCGGCTCGGCTTGCGACGATCACATCGATGCGAGCACGAGGAGATGCTCTAGATGCGATCTGTAGAGGAGTGACAGGTCAGCGGCTAACATGCGAGAAGAAGAGGTTGCATCGAACGCGGCTAACAGAGAGATAGGAAAGATGAGGCCTAAGGCTATCATGGCCGACCCAGATCCGTATACTGAAACAAAACGCGAAGCCGGACTCACATCGAAGTCGTCCGGATTTCCGCTGCTTTCGCAAGGAACCCCCTTGAGGCCGCTGCTGCGTCCACATTGCTCTGTCCCAGGACCTGCCCTTGAGGGTCCGGCTAAGCCGAGTACCGCTGAAAGTGGACTCCCTGCAGGGGTGAGGCTAACTGGACTTAACGAAAATAACGCCCTTGCCAATCTCCGCACAACCTATGGAGATGGTCCTAAGGGAACGACGGCGACTAAGTCGTCGGGCAATGCAGGGCAGGGCGGAGAAGATGGCGACAAGAGCGAAGCTCCCAACACTGAGATCGCATCTTCGCGCGAAGATGATCGAGGTAGAGGACCGCGAGGATCGCCTCCGGGGAGTCCAGGGGGGTCAGACCCCTCTGATGGCGGGGGGTGGACGCAGGGGGCCCCAGGGCCCCGGCGGACCGCACGACTCGATAGTAATTGACGAGAGCACGCCGTTAGATCAGTGGAGACAGGTTGGTAACAACCAGGAAATTGGTTTGTTGGACATCCCCGATGTTGCGAACATACGTGCGTGGAAAATGCACGCAATACGCGCCATCGCTGGGTCATCGCCAGAGAGCCAGGCAGCACAGCGCTGGATTGCCGAGGCTATGTACCCAGCCGTGGAGGATGAGCAACTCAAAGATGCTGGACGATTCCAGCGTCTCGACCTGATGATCGCAACGAATCTTATCGAGAAATTCAACAAGATGCGAAAGAGTCGATATACTCATGTCCTTCAACAGGTTACTCGCATGGAATTCAGCGCCCAGGCCGAGGGGGGACTCATGACTGGACGCGAGATGGTGCGGGCGATTTGTCACTGTTGGTCGGTAAGGTCGGAGTAGGGGCAACGTTGCATTTCGCGTGACGTCTTCAAAGTAAAGAGAGACCCGCACAAGCCCGATGCTGACCTGCACCATTTCTACAATGAGTGGACAGACGTATATCAACAGCTTTATGGCGCCAAGCCTTCGTCCGATGAGATGAGGGCCTCGATTCGCGCGCGCTTTCTTGAGCAATGCAGAAAGCCGAACAAACTGGATTTTGTATGTAAATTATATGACTTGTCAAAAGACAGACCGGAACAATGTGTCAAGACTTACGAACGGCTGATGGCGCAGATGGAAGAAATGATGTTGCGAGAAAAAGAAGAGTGGAACATCGGCGCGCACGAGGGAACCTTAAACCAACGTGCCAGACAAGCACGATCCGGCGGAGGCGGAGGCCGTGACAATCGGAGGAATGCAGGCAATAAAGCCGCCCCGGCAGAGATTGCCACTAAATTGGGACAATCCTCGGACGCCATGAAAAGCGGGAAAACCAAGGGCGAAACCACGTGCAGATACGTTACCAAGGGCGAAACCTGCCCGCGCGCAGGAAAAGGCT